TGATGGATATACCATGAATGGTTTCTCTCCACTGCTACCATTACTGTTGCATCTTAATATACTGATGCAATACTTTGAAAATGGCCTTTTCCTGTATGTTTAACTTTTTATACTGTCTTTATTTTGGTTATCCAGAAGTAGTTCTTAGTAATTCTAAGAATAGTAAATGTAACTTTAAATTCACCATTTGAGTAGTAGTTTAAGTAATAAGAAATTCTTTTACTTGTATTGTCCATCACTTAATACTTATAACCATGCTTTCTATTTTTCTACAAATATTCTGTCTTTTTAGTGGGAATAGGAGAAGCTGCAAACTTCGCTGCATATGCCTTTGCACCTGCAACCTTAATTACCCCACTGGGTGCTTTGAGTGTTCTTATAAGGTTGGTATGAATTGGAAATACACATTGAAAAGTTAACCTTTTACTGTATGCAAAAAATACTATGTTTTATTGTATGTAAGAAAGTTGCCTCTTACCAGTAATACTTAAGATATCAAAATTTGGTATACCTGAATTTCTTTGCCTCCCTTTCTTAAAAAATGAATTTATTTGGGGGTACTGCAGGGAATTCTGTTGCAAAATATTTGTATATGTTCCAACTGTTTTTCCAGCAGTCTGATAAGTAGTTCCAAAATCAGTGCATGGTCATGGTATTAATCATGCTGATGAGCATATTGGTGATAAGTTTTTGGTTTTGTTGTCTCCTAGTGTTTCAAAAATGAATGTTCCCTCTACTTGTTAACAAACAGTAATGAACTCATTTTTAAAAATGCAATAGCATTTCATGTCAAAATGTATTTTTGAAAACACTTTCTTTTAATAGTGAAATTTTTTTATATTACAACCAAATGTTGCCAAAGGTTCTTTTCTAGTCATCTTTGAGAAAAGGAAATGGAGCTTCTTATTATCATGTTTTAAATGCTTCTCTTGGAAATATGAGCACTTCTTAAAGAATAATTGCCTTTGCCATATGAAGAAATAAATAATTCCAAAGTACTTACCAGATACCTAATCCAGTTTGTCCTTGTCCTACAGGCAATACTGGTTGCAATTATGACAGTTTATCATTAGAGATTTTTAGACTTAAACACCACAGCACATGCTATGTAGTACTAGCCATTACATATCTCTGTTTGAGAAGATTGTGTTGTATAATAAACAGCTTCTTAGTAAGCCTAGTTCTTATGCTTGAGCTTTTCTTATTACCATATCATAGAATCATAGAAGTAGGGTCGGAAGGGACCTTGCAGATCTTCAAGTCCGACCCC